AAAACTTAAGTAGGCCTTAAAAAGTCAGGACACCTAAGCACTTTTTACGAGTTGTGAATGCGAAAGCGTGAATGTCATTCTTCCGCTCCCTTAGTTCGTTCGTCTCCGGTGTAGTGGCGTGGACGGCCACATTTGGCTACTGCCGAGGGGGCGGCCGACAGCCTATTTTGGCCACGCTGAGCTCGGCCGTGCAGCCTATTTGAAGTTTGCCCGAGCAGGCTGTGCGGCCAGGCCCGTACCTGTTACCGGTGGCTAGGCCGCTGCGTTTGCTGCGCCTCTATGGAGAGGCCTCTCTGGTTGCATGGTTTGGAACTATGCCGCGTGAGAGCCAGTGGGAGCCTCATTCCTTGAAACTAACGTGCGCCAGCCAATGGGCTGGCGCACAATAGTTTCAAAGTGAAGTCGCAATCCATCAGATTGAGACTTCACTTTGTTCCATTGGGACAGGGGAATTTAGGTGCTGTTGGCACGGCTTCAAAGCTGATGACGTCGGTTTGCTCCATGGGACAGTTAGTGGTTTTGCATTAATATAATTTTAATTTTATTGAGGCCCCAGTTTAAATTCCTGTTTCCTCCGACACATTAAACTAAGAAGTAAGATCAAGGCTCTCTTGAATGAGGTTGTACCATCCCACGGTGCTGTCCGCAGGAAATTGCTTGGGACACATCAGCTTTTGCACCAGTAGTTGGCATGTCCGTTTATTTTGACAATTTTCTGTATTTGTTATTACATTACTGCAAGCATATCAATTGTTCCAGGTTTAATGTGTGTGTATTTCTTTGGAGAAGGCAGTTGCACCTGTGTACTTTCTGACAGAACTTTTTATTTCTTGTCATGTAATCACAAATAAAGGTTTTGTTGTTTAATTCCACTCGGCCTATCATTCTGTCCACTACAGGGCTCGAAGTTTATCGGATATGCAAACATCCACGTTTATTTCACTTTCACATTGTATGGACCTGGCTCTTTTAGAAAAGAAACTCATCATATGCATGTACACAGCATAAAAAAAGGAACTCCAGATCTGCAAATCACAAGTGATACACAACGTCACATTTTCAGGAACCATACAAAACAAGCACGGAACTTAGCAGAGTAACAGACATTGAAACATTTATGTACACGAAATAGGACAAAGATGAACAAAAATAAAATTACAATGTTCCTTAGCCATCCGTTTCTGAAACTGCAAAAGTTGTTAAAGGGGCACTGAAGTCGATTTTAGAAAAGAAACTCATCATATGCATGTACACAGCATAAAAAAAGGAACTCCAGATCTGCAAATTACAAGTGATACACAACGTCACATTTTCAGGGACCATACAAAACAAGCACGGAACTTAGCAGCGTAACAGACATTGAAACATTTATGTACACGAAATAGGACAAAGATGAACAAAAATAAAATTACAATGTTCCTTAGCCATCCGTTTCTGAAATTGAGGGAAGTTGTTAAGGTGGCACTGAAGTCGATTCTGAGATCGTCCTTTTGTGGTGACAACTCAACCTAGATGCTCTTAAGCGCCCAAATAATCCCTAAATTACCATTGTGCATAGCCGATTAACTTATTAAAAACATATTAAAAGATTGTGACACGGCCTTTTTCGTGAGAGTTTCTTACAAGTGAAGTGGTCGGCAAAGGGCGCTTGTTAGCAAATTGCAAGCTATGGCTGCGCCCGCGGTGAAAACGTGGAGTCTTATCCTAATGTGTACCTATCCGACTCTTTTCAAAACGAGTTATAATAAAATCGTTCGGAATCTGCACGTATCGTAGGACTCTCATTGGTCTAGAAATTGAAAAAAATAGTCCGCAGTTTTTCTATTGCCCCGAGGTGGATATCCTGTTTTGTAATCTAGAATTTTATGTATGTATAACTAACACCTTTTCAACAATATCAAAAACAAACTTTTATAAAAACCACTTCAGTGCCCCTTCAGCACCAGATTATTCAACCTATTACATTAGCTCCGGTACGACATGATCGACCCAGAATGATCGTGCCTTCTCCAGAACAGGAGCATAAAGTCCCCTGTTAATGGGTACGACTATTAGCTCGTAGTCATTTGGAGTCCACACAAAGAAGTGTGCAGATTCTTTTCGGCAAACATGCAGTTGCGTCTGCACCTGCATGAAATGCTGATGCGACTCTTTCAGTTGCAAGTCAGCGGTGAGGCACTCATAGTCCTTGGCTTGAGAGTCATCATGGCGCAGTGTCCACGGGCACTTGACTTCCAATGTCCCTACCCCATGACAGCTGCACGTCCAGATCCCGTCGGGGGACGCGCCAAGGAAGTTATCCTAGTAAAACCGTCAAATAGAAAAAAAAAGCATAGTGATAATAACAGCCCTAGTATGATATATACGGAATCCCTCAAATTTCACACAGAGGCACGAACTGAAAGCTTAAAGGGGCCACGAAACAATATAAGGGTTGAATGTTATGCCCTTTATGCACGCATACTGACGCAATTGTAACACGAGCCTGCTCACATGCAATGCTGCTGAGCCAGGAGGTTCTTTTCTCCGATGTGATTTTTTCAAGCATGATGGTACAGCATTGTGATCGGCTTGAACACTGCGCAAGCACTTTATTTGGGCCCCCAGTCCACAAAAGGGATTTTACAGTAATTTTTTTTTCAATCTCCTTTCATAAAAGGGGATAAAGTGCTGAAGAAACTTGGACCGAGACAAAGAAAGCAATGACACAGGGCGCACTCTCAACTGAAGTACGTTGGAAAATCTACACGCTATTATTCCCTAGGAAAATGCACAGTCATCAGTCATTCTCTGCCCACCTCGCGTTTTAAGTACTCCTACTCATCCGTCGATGGGGCCAAAGACGTTTCGCTGACGCACTTGTTTCCTCTAGCCCTAATCTCAAAAGCCTTGTGTAGCTCGCGTAAAACCTTATTCTTGTATTTTGCCAAAATTTTTGTGCTGTTGAATGATGGGGTGCAAGGGCATCTGCTGCAATGAACGGCGAGATGCCCTGACGGTGTCGTCCTCGTGGAAGCTGCGTGTTCGCGGGCCCGATCATTAACATAGCGGCCTGTTTGCCCTACATAACTTAACCCACACGTCATCTGAATCTCATGCACGACCCCAGTCGTGCAATCTGTGTGCTTATTCCTATGCCTTGTGCTGCACGGGTCTATGATCGGCTGGGGATTATTGATTCTTCGGCATAATCTTGTTAGGCGCTGAAAACACAACCGGGACATTGTAACGCTGAGCCACCTTCTGTGTGCGACGCCGTGCATATATAGAATAACCACCGGCCATTGAAGTGTTATGTCACAGGATGGTTTCTGTGATGTCTTAAATTTCCTTATCAGGCTCCTGGCTACCTCGACCGATGAGCTCATTGGGAATCCCCCCTCCGCAATCGGTCTACCCGTCTCACAAAGCTACCTTGTGCGCTGCGTAGACAGGACTTCTCAAGCGACGCTTCTAAACACGAGCTCGCAATATCTCTCTTCACGAGCTTTGAATGACAGGAGTCGTAAAAAAGAATCCCCTTCTTTGACCTATGTGCATACGTCCAGCAAATGTGCTCCCCTAAAAAACTAAGCTTGAGGTCGAGGAATTGCATTATTTCATCTTTAGGTATTTCATGAGTGAAAGACAATCCGTGGCAACATGATTTAATTACCTTTAGCACCTCCCCACAACTAGAGGGACCGATTGTGGGTGCGAGGATGAGGAAATCATCAACGTAGTTAGATACCTTGTATCTGCCATCACTCTTTATCAATTTCTCCGAAATAGCCTTTCTGCGCACACCTAAAAAAATATTGAACAAAACAGGAGCAACACTGGCACCGATGCTAATTCCCTTCTTCTGCACATAAATTCCCCCATCAAATGGTGGTTATTCCATATATGCACGGCGTCGCACGCAATTTTAAGGAGGAGGCTCAGCGATACAATGTCTCGGCTGTGTTTTCAGCGCCTAACAAGATGTCGCGATTATGCCGAAGAATCAATAATCCCCAGCAGTTCATAGACCCGTGCAACACTAGACATAGGGACAAGTACACAGAGTGCACGACTGGCAGCGTGTATAAGATCCCGATGACGTGTGGGTTAAGCTATATAGTGCAAATATGTGTGTTAATGATCAAGCTCGCGAACACGCAGCTTCCACGAGGACGAAACCATCACGGCATCTCGCTGTTCATTGCAGCAGATGCCCTTGCGCCCCGTCATTCAACAGCACAAAGATTTTGGCAAAATACAAAAACAAGGTGTCACACAAACTACACGAGGCTTTTGAGATTAGGGCTAGGGGAAACAAGTGCGTCAGGGAACAGTCTTTGGCCCCATCTATGGATGAGTAGGAGTACTTAAAACGTGAGCTGCGCAGGGATTGATTGATGACTGTGCATTCCTGTTGGGAGTAATAGCGTGTACTTTTTCGAATAAACTTCAGTTGAGAGTGCGCCCCATGCCGTTTTCTTCGCGTCTCGGTCCATGTTTCTACGGCGCTTTATACCCTTTGCAATGTATTAACTGGCCCATCTAAGCACATTATTCCTTTCAGAAGACCAAAACATGGAAAGTTTTGCATTTAATCAGTTTGGTTCTAAGCAACTGCAATGAGCAAAGGACTGGTTTGAGAGAGCCCTCTCCCAAACCAATTGAAAGAGGGTGAGCCCAGGCTTTTGTCTCTCTTTCCTGCGATGCGGTTTTTTGTCACAACAGAAGTCGGGAGTCGTGCATGTTTTTCAATTCCGGTGTGGACGCGCCTCAAGGCTCATTCATGCACTTGTAACCGAGTAGGACGAAGAGAGACCAGACCGGTTTTTAAGCCTCTTGCGACGTCTTGGGACCGCATGTGCTGCTGCAGAGCTGGTCCTAAGACGTCGCAAGAGGCTTAAAAACCGGTCTGGTCTCTCTCGGTCGTTCTCGGTTACAAGTGTGTGAACGAGCCTTAACATACAACAGTTACAACTCCTTGTGAGGCTGTGAAATGGAACAAGGGAAGAGTGCTTCAGTTATTGGTACCAGCTGATTAAGATATAAATTAAGAAAGTTGTGCAAGCTTTGTCTGTCCTTGCACACTCAAACACGAAGAGAAGAATAATGGCAGCAGGTACAACCTTCTTATCGATCACGAACCCAACACTGCAAAGCCTGAAGTCGCTGTGGCAAGTCTCCATGAACTTCTGATATGTCTCCTTGGCTTCGGGCTCCTTCTCGACACCCCAGCAGATGGCCTCGGTGGTCAGTGGCGGGGTTCTTAGTAGAACGAGGTCGAGGATGGCCTTTGGGGATGTAGTGTCTCGCATTGTGCGCACCTGTAAAGGGCACATGCTTGGCATGCTGGCACTTACGAAAATTGAGCGAATGTCATTAGTTCACAAACCTTGTTGATGATGGAAGCAGTTATTCTGCCGTAGCGAACCTCCCGCCACATAAGTGTTGTCGCCTGCCGTCTCGTGCTCTTTTCTATCCTCTCAATTTCTCTCATGGGAACAAACATGTCTTGTGGGAGCGACATCCTCGTTGATCTTGTTCTCCTGACTTTCCTTAAAAATGAAATATTTACAAAAATTAGAACACTATGAAGATAGGCGACGTCAGAGCCGTATATTGGGAGAGTTAGGCCAGTGGGTGTGGCAACGAAGGCGCCGGAGAGGAGAAAAGTGAAGGGAAGGGAGGAGGGTGCAGAAAGACAAGAGAGAAAGAAGGGAGCAAAGAGGAGACGACCTCCATTTTGACGCAATGCAGTGGGCGCCGAGCCCTGTTGAGGTTACGCGTTGTCTGCTACGGGCTTATTTCTTTTTCGCCGGAAGCAAAGTTTGCGTTCAAATGCAAAGAAACTTAATTCGTTAGCTTCTTAAGCCACCGAGGAATAACAATATTTTTTTGCCATAGCCTGCCAAATAAAAGGAAAGAAGCGAAATTTTCCCATGCATTTTGCCGGACGAATGGGTGAAAATGGCAGCCCTCCCCGCTCAGCTGGGAGCAGCTGAGAGTTCACGCACATGTGCTCACGCCCCTCGCTCAGCGCCGCGGGCTGATTGGCTCACTCGGAAGGGGGGCGTCCAGCAGCAAGATCATAGACTGGCCAAAGTCTCCCCATACACGGCTCTGGGCGACGTTTGTCACATTCTTGAGACGATACATTCACAATTTTGTTTCTACCCCTAGCATTTCTGCAGAAGCAATGAGCATTCCTGCGTCAATGAACAAGGCTCGTGCAACTTAAATGTTCTGGACATGTTCTTCCCAGGGGATGCACGACAGTAAAGGAGATAGCGCACTGACTTTTACTACTCATAGAAAGATTGAAGAGAAGCCCATCGAAGTAACGAGGTGTACAGCACCCGCAGTCATATGTGCCCACTTCCGACAAGAGATTTCTGGTGAAAGCACAACTGCGCTTCACTGGTAATCTGGTAGTCTCTTGCCCCACAACACATTGCTATAACCTTGATTTGTTTTAAAAATTCGGGGCTGATTGATTGCTTAGCCCCATGTTATGAATTAAAGAAACTTGCTGCCAAAGCACCAAAAAAACCTGCATTTTGTGTAAGGCACGTCACACTATTAGGTGCTGAAGAAAACCAGCCCTCGTCTTTAAGTCCTTATTTTGACCTCTTTTGATCATGTTCCGCCAACAACAAGTGGGTGGTCTCGCCCACTCGATGACCATGCCGCCAGTGCGCCCTTCGGAATGATTATGGAGCTGCCCAGGTCCAGGCTAACCTACAACCAGACGCCCCAAGCACATCCATTTCCCGCAGGCTACTTAAGCCGGTTCAGACCAATGAATGGGAGCTCCCATAGGGGGAGGCTCTGGCTAAGCAGGGACTTTACTTTTTTTTTGTAGCATCTCCCCTCCCACGAATCTGCCTCATACGGCAGCATGGGCCTCACAGGCAGTTCCGTCAAATAAGGCAATACCAACCCTTTATTTTTTTTGGCTGACAGGGCAAAGCGTGTTGTCGTTTTCGAGTGCCAATAAACACATCGTTTACGAATTCAGTGTGTCGCTGCTGTCTCCTCTCCATAGGAGCCTTACGGCAGTCTTCGGATGAACTGGACCGTAGCAGTTTTAAATAGCGAGCTACGGAGTGGGATTTACCTAGCAGTGTCCAGCAGGTAAAGTAGAAACCCACAGGTTAAAGTATCAATGTGCCAAATTTAGTAACAGGAATGAGCATTAGCTTGCCTCAAAAATGTGTAGGACTGTTCGTCCTCTGAGGCGGAGTCGGTGTCCTCGTCGTCCATCTTTCGGATGGACCTCAGGACGACTGCTTGAGGGTTCAGTCGGTGAATCTCTTCGAAGAAGGCTTTGTCGGCGAGCTGGAAATCCCCGGACACATGGTTTGGTTCTTCGGGAGGGGTTCGGCTCGGCATTCCGGGCTTGCTGAGGTCCAGCTGGTGGACAGGGACCATGTCCTCCTGTGGTGTAGACATCCACATTTACATCGCCCTTTTTTTTTTAAAGGCCTGCATCTCAAGTTGTCAAAGCGTGGCAAAAGATTGTATGAATGCACATTGATTTTACACACCTCGCTGCTACTGAACTTTTGTTCCATCTAGAAACTTTTGATCGTAGCACATGGATCAAAAGGAATAAACTAGTGTCATAATTATTAAATATAGCCCTTCATATTTACCATTTATGCATGGATATGCACTGATGATCAAGAGTTCAATGGCACTACAACAGCAGAGAAAACTACAGTGGCCATCTAATGGCCCGTTCACACTCTTGCAACCGAGTGCGACCGAGAGAGACCAAACCGGTTTTTAAGCCTCTTGCGATCTCTTAGGACCAGCTCCGCTCAGTGCATCCGGTCCCAAGAAGTCTTTCTCGGTCGTACTCGGTTGCAAGAGTGTGAACGCGCCTTAAACCTGCAACTGCGGTAGGTACAATGAAGCTGAGCAATGGAGTTAAAGATTCATTGCAATATGTAGATAACAGATTGAACATGGACATGCTATAATGTGATCTCCACAGCTTGTTCGCTGCACTAATACCTTTGACTGCGAGACAGCCAGTGCTGTCACCAAAAAGCACAAGCATAATTTTTGTCACAATCCTGAAAAGCTCCCCGAATTATGCCCTCGGACACTGAAGACTGCTTGTTCTGGGCAAAGGATTAAGCATTGGGATTATTATCCAAGGACAATAATTACAATCCTGACATTTTGTTGGGTTGGCCTACATGATAATTCTCATAGCAAAATGCCTTTAACTTTAGCGTCACTGAGCACACATTTTAAGAGTTTGCGAATGCAGGATTCATGAATGCAGGTTGAATGCGGATACGAAAGTCCCTTTTCGTGCACGGCTTTACTTATGCAGGTAGCCAAAAGAAACGAAAGACAGCTGTAATTTAGTTACACAATCTGTCACATAGGGTTCCAGACACCAGGATCTAGAATAGTTAAAAATATTTGACAAGAGCTCATATCTACAATATGCACGAGTACTGTAACAGACCTTTCTTGCGACCGTCCTGGTCCATGCACACGGCTGAGAGGTACACGAGTCTTCCTGGGACACTCTGGCCGTGTATTCCACACAGAACAAAAGTGCAGCTACATGACTGCAGACCTCACCCAGACTGCAAGGAAAGAGGTAAATAGTTAATCAGCTTTCATCTAAACGAGCAAATAATGCTTCTGGAAAATGCTGTGTTGCCGGTGCAGCTGTGAACGAACTTACCCCGCTTTACATGTGCAGTGGCCACAGTAAACTTGACCTGTCTTATGGTCCAGGCATACCCATGCGTCATGGGGTGGGCCAGTTGCCCTCTGCGATGGCTTGACATTCGCCCGCACAAAACACAACTCGTGCCTGTCAGGCTGCCACAGCCGGACGTCACGTACATGGCCTGGGCAAGAATACAAAACCAATACACCAGTTTATAGTTTGTGAAACGGTGACCACTCTCAACCAAAAACCCTCTTAATTTTGACACCATGGCGGTGGTTTTACAATGATCATCCTGTCCACGACATCCTATGTTTGAGAAGAATATCAAAACAGCAGCCTCAGAATTGCAAGTGGGTGGAAGGAATGTGACATCTGAATTTAGATGTGCATGCATGTGGCACAACACAAGAAATATGTGACATGAAAATAATGTTGTTTACTACTTGTTCATGTTGGTGTTCAGCAACAATTTCTAATATGGTAGATGCCTCACACGAGCACACCGCGGCCACTAGTGGCTTCTATGACAGCCTATCAGTTGTTGGCAGAAAACGGGAGACACCGGCGATCGCATGTTCTGCTAGTCACTGGACAGAACACAGCACAGCTCTGCAATACGCAGTGAAGGCTATATTCCTGAGAACGAGACATTCTGCACGAGCAGTTAGACGTGTTTTGTAACGACTAGGCGTCTTTGCCGACTGGAGTTTTCACTGTACGCCACTTCTGAATTACGATTGTTCCAGGTACGCGTGGGCGTGATACACGCACATGGAATGAACATGAACGCAGGGTAAGCATTAGCACGTAAAACTCGAAGCTGTGTTACAAACGCGGTTTTTAACCACAGACATATGAACGACGAAATCAACAACCGACACGGGAAAAAGCTAGCTATCTTAGAGTGAGTATGTACAGCACCAACGAAACGTGGTTGCGGGTTTACGGATCTCGGAATGACCTACATGAATCCTCAACACCTTGCATTATTTGCTCTGTGGCGCAAATCATTCAAATTCAGCCCGTACTACGCTTGAAACATCGTCTCAACTCAGGCCTAAAACAGCTGGCTTCGGTAGGCGATGGAATGCAGCCCTGCTTACCTGACTCGAAGTAGTTGTACGCCTCCAGGGACTTGTACGCCTGCAATGTGTCCGGCGTAAATCGGCTGGGCGTGAAAAGCAGATACACTGTTATGTTTATCATAGTAACGGGGGGGCCCCCGCCGACCCGTCAACGTCCATTTCGAGGCGTCCACGCGGTACGGATCGCCGTAGTCCACACCGTTTACACGCAGCTTCGCGTCATAACGGGCTTTGTCCACTTCGCTGAGGCCGCTGTAGTAGTCCGACATTGCAATCAGCACGTAGGAAAAGCAATACCAAGCGAAATACACGGCACAATGGGAAAAACAACAGCGTATACCAAGGGCTTGTTTACACAGGGACGCCGAGCTTTTTGCCCACCGGCCACCGCGCATGCGCCAGAGAAAGAGAGAAAGGGAAAAAAGAGGGAGAGGGCGCGCCGGGTTGTTTGTAAACATGAGTTGGTGTATATATATATATATATATATATATATATATATATATATATATATATATATATATATATATATATATATATATATATATAAATATAGGCGTAACAACCGGTGACAGAAGTGGAGCTCCGTTCGGGACACCGTCTTCCGGCAAGCATGGACCCTCCTCGACAACCTGAGGATGGGCTTCCGCGACCGGGTGGAGGAGCCATCCCGCCCCGATTAGTTCCTGATCCCGTTGAGCCTAACGTTCAAGCCGATGCCTCGACCGCCATTGCAGCTCTGCTGGATGTCCACCACCAGCAGGCTGCCCAAGAGCTCAGGCAACGCGATGCGGCTCTCCTTGAGGCCATTTCAAGCTCCTTCGAGAGAACATCAGTCGCAATCGTCGAAAGCTTTCGAGCGCTGGCACAACCAAGATCTCTACTAACCGGTGAAAATCGACTTCCACCCACGACTCAATCGACCATCGCTCCGTCTGCTACGGATCTCAAGCTACGGGCGCCACAATTTGGCGGCACCGGCACCTGGTCCGCCTACGCGACGCAGTTTCAGATCCTCGCTGACGCCAATAAATGGACCGACGAGCAAAAGGCACAGGTAGTTGCAGTAAATCTCAGAGGTTCAGCATTACACGTCCTTCACCACATGTCGCCAGAATCTCGTACGTCGTACACTTCTCTAGTTCAAGCGTTGGAGCAACGCTTCGGTGATGGGCATCACCGCTACCTACACCACGTCCAACTGCGCCACCGGCGACAATATTCGGGTGAGACGTTGTCTCAGCTCGCTGACGACATCAAGCGTCTTACACGCTTGTCGTTCGTGGGTTCGCCTGAAGAGGCTGTAGATGCCGTTGGCACTGCGGCTTTTATTGATCCAATTGCGTCAATTGAGATCCAAGATACAGTCCGCCTTTCTTGTCCTCAAATACTTCGAGCCGCCCACATTTATGCGCTAGAAGTGGAGGCCGCCCGTAATGCATCACGATTGGCTACGAGGCATCCACCTGCAGCACCCGCCTCAGTCCTACCAAAGATGATCTGCTGGAACTGCCGACAAGAAGGACACAGCAAGATGTAATTTCCCCTTACACCCCGAGATGCCCGACCAACGGGTGCTCAAGGAGCGTCAAAAAAAAAAATTACTTCTACTTGCTCTGTAGATTCACCCTCATCCATCTACCTCCAACGTACAATGAATGCCTTCCCTGTGCGCGCATTCATAGACACCGGAGCGACAAACTCAGTCGTCTGACCCACAGTCTTCGACCAGTTATATCTCTCGGCCATGCCTGTGGGACCTGATTCCAGTCTTAAAACTGCAACTGGCGCTACCGTTGCAGTTTTAGGACAAGCCAATGTTCCCTTCCAAGTTGGTGGCCTGCAGACGACACTACCTGTGGTCATAGCAGAAGTCACTGACGATTGCATACTAGGATTGGATTTCTTAAAGACCGACAAATGCGTGCTCGACTTTTCTTGCGGGATCCTTCACGTTGGGGCACAGGCATTTCATCTCGGCTCAGCGACTGTATTAGTGTGCTATGCGAATGGGCTGCCATTAAACTCGCGAACACCGTGTTCTCTTGGTCTCCAAACTCACCTTATACCTCTCTATGCTGCCACTGCTCCTCGCCTTCAAGAGCATGACGCTGTTCAACTGCAGAATTTACTTTCACGTTTTTCGGTTGTATTCAGCAGTAGCGACACAGACTTTGGAAATACCAATTTGGCTACGCACCGCATCATAACCGGTGATGCAGACCCCATTCGGCAAGCGCCTCGCAGACTACCACTGGCAAAGCGTTCACACGTGAATGACCTCGTTGAGCAAATGCTCAGACAAGGTGTCATTGAGCCAGCCTATGGACCCTGGTCCTCGCCGATCACCCTGGTAAAAAAAAAAAAGATAGATCAACTCGATTTTGCATCGATTATAGGAAGCTAAATGACATCAAAAAGAAAGATTCTTTTCAACTACCACGGACAGATGATATCCTAGACGCGCTCGTGGGATCTACATGGTTCTCCACCCTTGATTTCAAGAGCGGCTACTGGCAAGTTCCCGTACATTCATCAGACCGCGAAAAAAACAGCCTTTAGCACCGGCAACGCGCTCTATCAATTCATAGTCATGCCCTTTGGGCTATGCAACGCTCCCGCAACATTCCAACGTCTAAGAGAAAGAGTCCTCGAGGGACTAACCTGGTCCGCTTGCCTTGTGTATTTAGACGACATTGTTGTCCTTGGAAAGACCTTCACCGAATACCTCACTAATCTCGAGTTGGTGCTCAAGAGTCTTCAAGACGCAAACCTGAAGTTGACCCCTAAAAAATGCACCCTTTTTGCTCGGGAAGCCCGATATCTAGGACACGTTATTGCATCTAGTGGCGTCTCTCCCGATCCACTGAAGTTATCAGCAATCACTGACTGGCCAACTCCAGCATTAGGTGTTGACGTTCTGAGCTTCCTCGGCCTGGCGACGTACTACCGGCGCTTCGTCCCTGGTTTATCACGAGTCGCCAAGCCTCTATATGCCTTGACCGAGAAGTCCAAGGTATTCAAATGGTTTACAGAATGCCAAGACTCCTTTGACGTACTAAAGTGCGCGCTAACGTCGTCGCCAGCGCTGGCTTACCCAAGAGACAACGCGCTGTTAATTCTGGACACAGATACGAGCAATACCGCGGCGGGTGCAGTACTGTCTCAACAACAGGAAAGCCATGAACGAGTAATTTGCTACTACAGCAAAGCCTTCACAAAGCCAGAACGAAACTATTGCACCACAAGACGTGAACTTCTCGCTATCGTCAAGGCTCTTTCCCATTTCAATCACTATTCGTGTGGCAGGAAGTTCATAATCCGCACAGACCACGCAGCGTTGACATGGCTTCTTGGTTTTAAAGAACCAGAAGGCCAAGATGCCCGCTAGAGAGAACATCCACAGCTGTACGACTTCGAGATTATACATCATGCGGGATCACACCATAGTAACGCCGACGCCCTCTCAAGGCGCCCACGTAGAGAGGGTTCCGGTCTGGCTGTGCATGAGCATGATTCGCCGTAATTCGGGCCTGCGTCGCACCCTCTGCTCTGTCACCATCACCAACAGCATGTGGTCACCGCAAGAAATAAAAGACGCCCAGCCACGTGATCCCGCTGTCAGCCTGTGCGTCCAGTGGAAACGAAACGGCCGTCGGCCACAACGTACTGAGATATGCCACCTATCTCCAGCAGCATTAAACTATTGGGCCCAGTGGGACACACTAGAGTTACGTGACGGACTTCTGTACCGGCGCTGAGAATCACCCACTGGTGACCGAGCCGTATGGCAACTAGATGCACCACCCGAATTCCGCGCCCAGATATTCCGACAGTTTTACAGCAGTCCCGAAGGAGGCCACTTTGGCGTCAACGGTACCCTTCAGAAGATACGTGAGCTTTTCTACTGGTTCCAGTGCCACAACGATGTCAAGTTGTGGTGCCGTGACTGCGACCTGTGCGCTTAGCGTACAGGTCGCAAGGGCGCGTGAACACAAATAAGTACAGGCGCCCTTGCAAGGACGCGTCAGTGGAGCACTATTTGGAGGGTCGCTTTAGACGTTCTCGGTCCTCTACCGCGAACACAAACTGGCAACAGGTTTCTCCTTGTCATAGTAAACTATTTCTCAAAATGGCCAGAAGCCATCGCTATTCCTGACCAAACCGGCCCTGTCGTGGCAGATACTTTGGTAACTCACTTGATATCACGGCGCATCCATTGTCATTACACTCAGACCAAGGTCAAAACTTCGAGTCACAGGTCTTTCAAGATGTCTGTCGACTGTCCAACAACACGAAAACAAGAACGACGGCGCTGCATCCACAGTCCAATGGCCTCGTGGAGCGTTTTAATCGCACCATACTGCAGCATTTGGCGATGTTTGTCAACAACCATCAAGACGACTGGGACCTGCTTTGTCCCTCTGTTCCTCTACTCCTATCGAACCGCAGTTCACGAAGTCACCGGGTTCACACCCGCCATGATACTTTCTGTACGGGAAATTCGCAATCTGTGCGACCTCGCTTTCTCAAGACCGCCAGATCGTTCCTCTGACCCTTCGTCTTATGTTGATGACCTGATGATGCGTCTCGAGCGGACATACGACTTCGTTCGAGGGCGCACGATGCGAGGAGCACACCACACAAGAAATGCTTCAACCGGGAGACAAAGTGCGTCTTTACAACCCCCTGCGAAAACGGGGGCTTTCGCCCAAACTACAGCGTAACTGGCAAGGACCATTCATTGTTGTCACGCGCTTAAACGATGTGGTATACCGCGTGCAACGCAAGGCTCGTTCCAGCATGCTCATGGTTCACAGTACCCGCCTTGCTCAGTACGAGGGCTGCTCAGCTTGAACTGAACTTACTGCCATTTATTTTCTGTTAGGGGATAGTGTGACAGAAGGAGAAGTGATTTTCGGACTGGAAGGATAGAAGGTAACACCAGAAGCGAGATACGCTTAGAATCGGACCCAAGCTGAAAATTTGCAAAATTATTCGCGGGTTCTAATTTTCGCGAATCGAGTGTAGCTTCCGTAACGTTCACATATATCCCGAATTGTTCGCGGAACGTATTTTTTCAGAATTGTAGGTGATTCGTGAAATTCTCGAAAATTAGGTTCACGCGA